CCAAAACTGCACAGGAGAACACAAAGGAAGATATCAAGCATTTCAGGAAGGCACATTCCCAGGGGAAGAGACAGACATAAAAAGGGTTCAACAAGCTAGAGAAAAGTCTGGGGAAGAAATGAGGACAGGAGAAAACTCAAGGCATGGAGCTGCCAGGAGACCTTCAGATTCCAACAGTGCTGCCTTACATCACTGTCTATGCACATGTGACTCCCACCCCAGTACAGCTGTGTGCTCCACACGGAGACTAGCATGGTTTAACAAATCAACAGTCGAGGAATAAGAATCACAGTTGTTCAGGCCACATTGATCTGACAAATTCAGCATGATCATTCCAACTAATAGAAAGTAAGTGATATTGAAGAAGTTATGCTTTTACACTATTTTTTAAAGGCGGGGGAGTTTAAATTGCTAATAACCAGTGACCTTAATAGCTAAAAATCTGAGAAATTATTTATAGAGATATAACTTTGTATAAAGTTGAGCCATGTAAATATACTCTAGGAAGATGTTTTTATTTTGTTTGATTTTTGTTTCTTTGGGGGCTTGAACTCAAAGCCTCATGCTCATGTTTTTCCACTCAAGTCTGGTGCTCTACTATTCAAGCCATTCCTACACTTTGGGCATTTTTTGCTAGTTAAATGGAGATAAGAGTCACAAGGACTTTCCTGCCTTGGCTGGCTTCCAAACATGATTTCAGCCCCCAGAGTGACTAGGATTAGAGGTATGAGTCACTAGTGCCCAGCAAAAAGAGCTTCTGATTTCATACCAGGCTTCTGGCTCATATTTCTATTTTATAACAGTAGTGCCTTACTAACAGTAATATCCAGACAATAGCAATACCAATAGCAATGCATTTCCCAGAGATGTTCAGCTGTGTGTCCAAGGTCAAGGACCATGGTAATTTTTCTATTTTATACTTTCAGTCATTATTTCAGCAATTATTTCAGACAAATTACATTGAGAAATTAGTATAATCCAGGTGTTATTTATACATACTAGTTTAATCTTCATCAGAATTCTATATGGTAGGGTACTGCATTGTTTTCTTTTTTGAATACAAGCTTTTGAGCTCAGGGCTTCATACTTGCTAGGCACAACACATTTCCAAATCTTACCACATCTACATGTGTAAAGAAGAGGAAAGAGACACACAAAAGGAATGTATTTACTACTGAAGAGGGAATGTAAGTTTCTGGAGACCCCACAAGCTGGCATGCAGCTCTAGAACCAGAATTCCTAACACAGAGACTCTGCTTGTAAGTACAACACTCCATTAACTTGCACAAAGTAGGAGTCATTGATTATGTTGGGGCATCATCAAAGAATATTACTATAGTCATTGTTTTCATAACCAGGTGTTTTCATACACCAGGCTTCCCTCTTTCCTGTAGAGGAAAGGACACAAGTGACTTTATTGAAATTCCCCCAGAAAGAAAGATCCCTTGATGGAGATACTGTTTGAATGAATCTTTCTCGAACTTTTTTAATTGTAAGGATACATCCCTGTTAATTTGCTTGCTCTGTTTAGCTATGATTTCATGGTGCTAGTGCACAAGTGAGAAATGAATGTTACCACACAGAAAACTCCAGAATCAGCAGCACAGCAAATCAGAACACACAGCACAGACACTTAGAAGAGCTCTCATCTAGGTCGGCCTTTTGTCCTTTATGAAAGCCTCCGGACACAGAAATGGAGGGCAATGGATGAGCAAATGCTGCAAGATTCTCACTGGACACTATGTTGAAAATGAACTATAGAACTGTGAGTGGGGATGGGATGGAAAAACTGGGACAGAGAGAGAGAAGGGATGACATTGACCAAACAGGAATACTTTTTACCTGACTTGTGTAACTGTAAACACTCTACATATCACCTCGATAATACATTAAACATTTTTGAAGTCAAACCATTAATCTTAGTTTTAAAAAGAATTTCAGACAGAAAGTCTTAGATGGTGGTGCTTCCCTTTACCTGTCTGTTCTCTGTGCCTGAGCAGGCTGTGCCCACCTGGCAGCCTGCACCTCTCTGGTCTGCTTACTGGGTGGAATGCCAACTCCATACACCTATGATGCTAATGCAGGACCAAGCCACCTGGGCCAGGGCCAGTGATTTCATTTTGTAACTAAGTTCATGGAAGATTTATCCACACCAAAACACCAGTGACGACACTGGCTTGACCTTCCTGTCCAGCAATCCCATCCTATTCTCTCCTCTCTCAACATGCTCCTGCTAACCTTACCACAACGAGAGCTTTCTTGGGGACTGCAAGACACCTGGGCTCCCAGAGTCAAAAGTACTTTCATCCTCCGGACTTAGAAGGGAAAATCAACTATAAACCACCTCGTGCTAGCTTCATTTTCAGAAGCAGGTCAGCCACGGTTTTCATAAAAGTTTATAGTAATACAATGGCATTTTCTCAGTTTCTGATACAGGTTTTAAACGACTTTCTGCACTCACGAATGTATCCCGCCACTCCTGGGTTCCAGGTCTGCATAGAAAGAATCACGAGCATCCTGAACAGGGCAGCAGGGCCATGTCCAAGTCTGAGTGTCCTCCACTGGCCATCACTCCAGTCCTCCGCTTGGTGCTAACGCCTCCTTGCTGCTCTCTTCTCCTGTGTGTTTCAAGTAGGCAGAGCACACCCAAAATAAGCTTCAACCTGTAAACCCCACCGCAACCCTCCAGCACACTGCTCTGTGCCCTGGAGCCTGCTGAGCCTCCAACCCAGATGCTCCTTGGGACACTATCGCCACTTGGTGCCGCGAGCGCCCCTGCTGGTGTCCGCGAGGAAGTGCAGACCAGACATAAACCCTGCACATTTGCCAGGTTGAGCCTGGCAGGAGCCCTTAGACTCAACTGTGCTCACACACTGGGTCCAGTCCATACCTCCTCTTCAACGGTTCAATATGCTTCAGACTAAGGAAGTGAGTTATGAGCTGAGTGATATTTTCACACAGTGCAAAATATTGAGCACTCCCTTTAGTAAACGTGCATATTCATTCAAAATGAGAGGGTAGGAAAGAATGAACTACTGTGGCTTTAAGGAAATAATTACATAGAACAAAAGCTTGTCTAGGGTTAGCACTTTACTATGTCTATTCCAGCTGGGAATGAGACTTCTACACTAAATGACTAAAAAACTATGAATTGCTGGATACCACTAGCTCATGTCTGTAATCCTAGCAACTCAAAACAGAGATCTTAGGATCAAAGATTGAAGCCAGCCTAGGCAGAAAAGCATGTAAGACTTTTATCTCCAATTTATCACACAGATACCTCTCTCCATCCCCTGCCCCCAAGAGCCAAGAGTGGAGCTGTGTAGAGCACTACCCTTGAGCACAAAAACACAAAGGACAGCACCCAGAACCTGACTTCAAGCCCTAGATTTGGCACAAAATAATGAATTAAAAATAAACCTAATTTGAATATGGCACAGGACATCATCTGGAATTTTTCCACAGCAGATATACAGCCTCATGAAACATCACTAGTATTTAGGAAAAGGCCAAACCACAGGGTCTCACCACTTTACATCCACTAGGATAGCTGTTATAAAGCAAGCAGAAACAAGTGGAGCTGTGGCTCAAGTGTTACACTGTTAGCCTTCAGCAAAAAGCTCAGGAAGAGGATTCTGCCCTGGGTTCAATCCCAAGATCAGCACACACGAAAAAAAACACAAAAGAGAAAGTTGAGGTTGGCAGTAACTGGAAGAACATGGAGCCCTAGTTCCCTGCTAGTTTTTTATTTAGGTTGTTTTCTTTGGCAATAGTATGATTTGAACTCAGGACCACATTAGGCAGAGTTAGGGTCCCATTATTTTTATGGCTCTTTAGTTATTTTTCAGATCTTTTTCAGTTATCACTGTGATAGTTTTCCTCAGAGCGGCTTTGGACTCCAGTCCTCTACTTCTGTCTCCTGCTTAGCTGGGATTACAGATAAGATACCAAGTCATCCTAGGTCATTATGCCATTTCAGCAGGAAGCATCTAGACATCGACAATAACTCTTTTTAAAGAAATTGGTGGGTAAAATAGAGAGTGAGGAAAATATAAAAGGACCTGACATCTGAATAAGTTTACATGTGAGGATTTAGTTCATGACTTGACCAGGGTGCTTCCAGTTACTTGAGTTTTTCAAAGGCAGCATTTTCTCTTCTTTCTCACTCTCCTATTGCCCCACCCACACACCTACTTGCCATGCCCTAGGAGAGGAAATTCGGGATGATTCTCATACCTTGAGTCAAGGTCACCACACTCCTCTCCTTATCTTGCTTTCCAAGGTATTGAAGGAACATTAGGACAATGACTACATCTCTGGAGACTGCTGGTTAACACATTTGGAAATAAGCAGGCCCATGCACACCATTAGGCCGGACCTTCCTGCCTCAGCACTTAAATCCATCAGGATGTCCATGCTCCTGGGTGCGTCCATAAAAGCCTCCTACTTCCACTACCCACAAGGACTGATCTCCTTTCTCAGACAATAGCTCAAGTAGGTATCATTTTGCCTGTAAATTAATATGCCTTTATTTCCTTTATGCTAAGACATTAATCTCACTGACATTGAATTGACATTGAATTCAGGGAACTGAATTTTCAGTAACATGGGAGAGTTGGGAGCTGCAGACTACAAAGCAAAGTGAACAACACAAATTCCAGAGTAAAGTCTAAATTTTCAAAACTGTTAACGATAAGTACTGTAAGCAGTGATTTCCAAAGAAACAGGTAATATCTGAGTTCAAGGGAAAGGCACAGGAAATGGATGGAAGTATGGCTTTGACAGGTTGAGCAGGTGAATTTGGAGGTAGGAATCTAGAGGACCCAAGAATGAAGGACTTGCTGAGCTAGTGGCAGTGGTAGGGCTTTGTGACACATCACTCCTTCCCTTTGTGACTTAGTAGAAAACCAGGCCTTTGTGATGTAGGCTTTCATTTACTATATATTGCCAAAGAAACGCTCAGAGCTCAGTTGCTCAAGAGCAATAGTGCGATTCAGATGATGGAGAATCTTCTCTTGTCACTGAAAAGCGTTGCTATACCATGGCTGAGCCCGGAACTCGCCACCTTTGCAATGGATATGATCCTTGCCATTGTGGGTGGCGTGGGGCTCTACCTCCTGCTACTGCTACTTCCCTGCTTCAAGGAAAATCCATCCTCACCAACACCTGAGAGAAAGAACAAACTGACTCAGGTAACATTCCTAAGGGCAGACCACCCAAAAATAGGTAGGTAGGTAGGTAGGTAGGTAGGTAGGTAGGTAAATGGATGGATGGATAGATAGATAGATAGATATAGATACACACACACATTAGAATTTTACTTATCAGTTAGAGTGATACTGTAGCATCTATAAAGGAATAGAAGACTTGGGAAAATTAAGTGAATTAAGTCAATCCCAGAGAGACAAAGGATCCATGTTCTCCTTGATATGTGGAAGGTAGATTTAGCTTATATACTCAACAAATAGGGTGGATGTTACACATGTGTACACAAATGTATTGACTGAGATATGGTAGATAGAGTCAAAGGAGATCTTAAAGTGGAATTCATTAGAAAGCCAAATATCCAAGTTCAGTAAAATAGAAAAATCGGAAAAGTGTTCTTGACAGGGTGGGGAGGGGTCAAAGGGAAAGGGGGGTAGTAAACGGAGAAGAGGGTGATATATAGACAAGAATCCAATATATAATCTATCACAGTAAGAAAGAAAGGGCTGGGGAGGGGGGGGAAGGGACACACTGCGGAAAGAATGAACAGTTATACCACTTTGTGAAATAGCAACTCCTGTGTGCAACAACCTGATAATTTTTTAAATGGTTCTTTTGTTTACTGATGTTTGCACTTCTCCAAAACAAGTAGCAAGGGTTCCAGAGGGGAAATTCCAGAAAAGAAGAGAGCCATCTTCTCCTAGGCACTATCAGCACAGGGCACAATGTCAGTAGCATAAGGTAGTATGCTGAGCTCTCAGAACAGCTGTGTGGAGTGCAGAAAGTACCAGGCTTAATTCAAACCCTGAAACTCAGCAACCAAGGACTGAGGTCTTGAGAGCTGAGGACCTGAACACTCAGCCCTATGTCACAGCAGGTGCCTGAAAACTGCACTCTCCCCAGTGTTAGGCTGATTAGAGGGCTGTTCAAAGCCCATGTCAACCTCCCATCAGAGGCTAAGGTCACCTTTGGACTCAGGAAGGAAAAGCCAATCTGGAAGCTGAGAGGCACCTGGAAATCAGGGTCTTGGTCCTGAGAACAGAAAAAGCACCGAGGTGATCTTTGTTGTCTATCTCATATAAGAAAAACAGAAATGGGCTGGGAAGGTGGCTCAGTGATAGAGTGCTTGCCTTGCATGGGTGAGGCCCTGGCTTCGATTCCTTACACCACATAAGCAAAAAGCAAAAAGCCAGAAGTGGTGCTGTGGCTCAAGTGGTAGAGCACTAGACATGAGCTGAAGAGCACCCAGGCCCAGAGTTCAGGCCCCATGAACCCGACCCTGCCGCCCAAAAAGAAAGAAAAACAGAAATAATTAGCAGCCACACTGTGAAGAAAGGAAATGCAAGGACATAGGTGAAGACATCATTTTATCCAGAAACACCAAATATCTTAAACTTGTCTAGGGAAAGGAAAAGAGTAAAGAGGTCTAAGTCACGTTTTTCTCATCTCTCAGTATCCTGTGGAGAAACGAGGCCAGATCAAGTGCAAGAAGAAACGTGCTGCTCTGAAAGGTAGGCTCCGCACTTTCTCCCAAGGGGATTTGATCTCGGTCTCTGTCAGCAAGAGCCAGGCCACCAAGTATTTCAGTGTGTAAAACCTTTGCAGGAGAGTCCTGGGAAAGAAACCAGAACTGGAGACACTTCTCAGGTTCTCTGCGTGGAATGAAGCTGCGACATACATCATAACAAATGGGAGGGGCTGAGAGGCTGTGAGGTAACACTGATGATGTGGATGTGTGTCACACAGGGGGAGGGGCTGAGAGGCTGTGAGGTCACACTGATGATGTGGATGTGTGTCACACAGGGGGAGGGGTTGAGAGGCTGTGAGCTAACACTGATTATGTGGATGTGTGTCACACAGGGGGAGGGGCTAAATGGCTGTGAGGTCACACTGATGATGTGGAGGTGTGTCACACAGGGGGAGGGACTAAGAAGCTGTGAGGTCACACTGATGATGTGGATGTGTGTCACACAGGTCAGGGCTGAGAGGCTGTGAGGTAACACTGACTTGATGAGGAGCTGTGAACTTCAAGCCCACATGTGGCCCCATTCAATTCCCTAAAAACTGTATTAGCAATGAGATGTCATTTTTCGGGTCCCCAAGAGGTTCTGGAGGTTGTGGATGTTTGCAGAGCAGGTGGTCCCTTGTAAATAAAGCAGCACTACCCCTCTATATGCCCTCTTAGCCCTGGTAGCCATCCTGCGGCCATGAATACAGATCTGGAGTCCATGTGATCTTCCATGTTCTTTAATAGAGAGATGTTTCCTTCAGCCTCCTGTAGGTTCCAGAGGCCCTGCCTAATCTGCCTAACCACCGTCTCTGTTTCTAGTTTGCACAGAGATTCGGGAAGAGCTTGAGGAGATGCATGACTTAGCTTCCCTTCTGAGTAGGTAAGGTTTCCACATGTCCCTGTGCCTGCATTAGTACCCCAGAGAATGGAATTGTCTTGGGGTTGAGGGAGACTTCAGGTTGGCCTGGGATGTGGCTGAAGCCACAGGATGTAGAAAAGGAAGGGCTGTATAAATGTCAGGGTGTGGTTCTGTGGGTGCTATGGACAGCAGGTAAATTCCCTTGCCCATACTGGGACTGTTTGTTGGGGAATGAAGTTTGTCTCCTGTCTCCTACAGCGCCCTAGGGAAACTCGATGACACTGGAAGCTTTCAGCGTTTCTTAAAAGGAGATGCCTTAGGTGAAGTTTTCAACTCAGAATCTGCTACAGCCCACCCGTCATCGAGAGACTCTGAGGAGGACACTTTCTCCAGCACTGTGTCCCTGAAGGCTTCCCCATCTCCTTCATCCAGTGGCTTGCAGCCTCTGGCCTCTACCTTGTCACCAGTCCACATGAGCTCCTCAGTTTCTGTTGAGTCACACACATCCCAGAGTGTGTTTCAGCCTCCGGAGCCGTCGATTGCTCTAGGAGAAGAGTCTTTTCCCTGTTCTCATTTTCCTCCACCTGTGGCCTGCACTCCACCCAGGCACGACTCACACTCGGGTCTTCCCCCATGTGACATCAGGGAAGACCCTCCAGAAACCACCCCACAGAGCTCTCCAACCAACAGCTCTAGGGTGCCTTCTCCTATCCCAGCCCTCAACTCTGATCTCCTGGATTTGTCAGACAGAGTGCTTAGTAAGAGGGCAAAGCTGAAATCAGCTTGTCAGGAGAAAGAACACCCTCTGGATTCTCAGGGGAACATGATGAAGTCACTGGGCAGTGCACAAGACACTGCCATCCCTCAGCCCCTCTGGAACACCGAGGGAAAACCACAGCAGCTTCCTGATTCTCAGGAACTGCTTTTCCCCATGGTCTTGCAGAAATGCTGCCAACTGTTCTGGGGCCTTCCCTTCCTGCACAGCGAGTCCCTGGTGGCTCCTGTCCAAATGTCTGGTCATCCACTAGACTTACCCTTTGTTTTATTCAATAGTTTCCTGCACTTAATGCCGGTACAAGTCCAAGCTAAAGTACCTCCAACGTACTTTCTACCACAGCACTTACTGCACCATTTGGTCAAATCACAACCCTTCACTCCACCCTTATCCTGGCCTCAGCCTTCCCCAGTGGCTGAGATCCAGACCAATGCCCATGACACGTTCTGTACACCAATACAATCCTGTCCTTCACCTCCAGTGAGGTCCTGTACTATCCCACCTGTTGTTCAACAATTAGACCATCATCTCAAGAAGAAACATCTACAATGTCAAAGAATTTTACCCTCTGTGGTCAAACAGTCTCACAAAACCTTTAGTCAAGATCAGGGCACCTGGAACCAGACAGGCTTTAGCGATGAATTAAGTGATTTTATTAGCCTTGAGATGAGGAAAAAGCTGGAACATCACCTCCAAGAGAGGATCCTACAGCAGCTATGTAAAACAAATCACAAGATCCAGCTGTCACCTAAGAATTTGACAGGAACAGATCAGACAGACCACAAACATGCATTTTTACAAAACTCTACATCTGTAGAGAATTGTTACCGGAATATTCAGAAAACAACCCCAGAGTGTCCAGTACCCCAAGGATGGAAGAACTCTAGAGCAGATCTGCAATTCTCTATGAGCAGAGTAGTGAGAGCTCTAGACAGGGATGCAGAAAGCTCCTCAGGGGATTTTCTAGAGGCCAAAACACAGAAAATATTAGAAAGCAACATGAAGAAACCAAGTAGTGATTCAGGATATTTTCCCCCAACTCATTCAAATAAGAACTATCTAGGAGAAACCCCAATAGCCCATCTCATCACTAAATGGGAGCAGATCAGTAGGGACAAGGTCCCCATGCATGTTAGTCATTACCGAGGCAACACAAATCATGCCTTGCCCGCCCGTGATAACTCCAACTCTAACAAGAACACTGGCGGAGAACCACCCTTAAAGACCAGGGAAACCTGCAAGAGCTCCTCCCAGGAGGTTTCCCACATTGATGCTGCCACTCGACAGCTGCTAGATGTGCATATCAAGAAGCTTTGGGCAAAGCACCAGTGGGGCTTGTGCCTAAAAATTCTCAAACCGATGAACATCCTTACTCTGAAAAAGGCTCCCCCTGTGCCAACTTCACAGGGAGCTTCACCCTACATGGCCTGTAGTAACTTCAAGGCCTATCACACAGTGAAGGAGGGTGCATGCCAGGGAGCAGCCCTTCCCAAAGAACAAAAGATCAAAGAAAGAGAAAAAACTGAAGGCCATGCCTTACAACCTTCTCAACCACCTTCACAACCTGAAACCCCGAGGGGAACACAGTATAATAACTGTGGTCCCTTGGAGGTCTCTCCTAGTGGAGAGAAAGGTAGACTGCTTTCTGAGACTCCATCTTGTATCTTACTAGGAAGAAAGTGGCACCATAACATTGTGCCAGGATCAGAAGAAAGCAGTTTAGAAACAACAAATAGCCCAGAAATGGGCATGTCTGCAACACAAGAGAAAGAAAACGTCTGCCACAGTGTGTCCATCCAAGAACTACTGAGGACCACTGAAACACCATTCCCCTCCAGAATTTCAGTTTCCAATGACCCACTTGATTCATGCCTTAAAGAACACGCAGGGTCAACCAGTACAAGCGAAAGCACCCCTTTTGATGATATCCTAAAGGACTGCAATGCTGACCCATTCCTGCTAAGTGGTGCCCCCAAGATGCTGATTGCTGATGACATGTTTGCTTCTCAGAGTTCTCTAACTAGCTCAGAGAACCTTTCTGGAAGCAGCACATC